TAAAAATTCACAAACTAGGTGGGCAGATCATGGTTCCCGTTGACATAATGAACCTTTGTTCATAATATTTATGGTTGGGTCGCCCGACCGGGTTTATTCAAGCACGTTCTTTGAGCCCAAAAATTATCCGAACACGATAATTAAGCACGAGGAAAATTTGCTAATCCGCTTCTCTTTCCCCCCTCCCACAAATGGAACTAACTTCTCTTTCCTTGGGGTTCCAATCCTGACTGGCGATCATTCGCTCTTTCCTTTCCCAATCCCCTGAAACAATTCCCACGATAAAATTATCCATGTGGACACCATCCCCAAACCCCCAATAACATGCGTACTTGTCACAATCAACTCCTGCCACAGCAGCCCTCCCTTCGCTCCCGCACTCGCCGCAGCCTATCTCTTAAATCAGCCATCTGAGCCATCTGTTCCACTAGTTACACACTCTCTCACACAACTCACAATAGGCAATATCCCATTAGTCCCCCACCATGCATTCGCACATTCTGTCAACAACACCGGCCACGCTCCCACCATCCCCGCCCATATAATCGTCGCTTGCGTCTCACTCAGCTTTACAAGGTCCGTTTTCTCCACCAGCATTCCGGATAGAAGAATCATCATGCCCTCAACCATGCATTGAATGTGTGCTGTGAGCGCGAGTTTGGGGAAGGGAGTGTTGGGGACGTAGAAGCCCCAACACAAGCCAAAGGCCATTAGGGAAGCGCCGGTGAGGTAGAGGGAGTGGGCGGTGCGTGTTTCGAAGGTGGGGGATTTGGCCATGGTTGCGTTAGGTGGGCTTGGCCTGAAGTAACGAGTTGGGACGATGGGTTGGGTAGGCAGGTAGGTGGTGTATCAGAAGGCTTGGATTTCGTGAAGAAAGGGGATACTGTTGAGTTATTATCTGCCTAGGTGGTATTAGTCAATAAATATATTTGATTGATGAAGCTAAATGATCCAATTCAAAAAGTGTAGGACTGATAAAAAAGACGAGAAAGATGGAAGGTTAGAAGGGATTACAAGGCGGAAGATAAAAGTAGATATCAGCTAGTTATAGGTCATATGATGATTAATATGCTCCGAAGCCTCCTGTATTACTTTAGGTTGGTCCTTCTCTCATGACATCACTCTCCCCAGGCGTTTGAGCTGGATGGTAAATAATCTCAAAAAGAACCTCAAAAAAAAAAAAAAAAAGAGGCCGAGGGTTATGGCGGGTCGCCATGGGTCCAAGGGATTGGAAGCGAAAGATTAGTGGATGTCAGCTACGGTGTTGTTGCAGGTTAGAGGCAAGCATAAGGCGTGTGATCGATCCGTCAACCGCACTGATTGGTCCCAGCCAGCAAATAATGGCGTTTGAAGGCTACCATCGGCCAGCACCCTTCTCCAGCTGTAATGCATGCATACCCGTTCCCTGCTACCAGTGAAAATGATGACCACTATTTTTAAGTTAAGAGGCTGTTCCCAGAGCTTCCAATGACATCATCGGCCGATCTCCGATCGTGGCATGATCGGATCCGATTCCAGATAACTACATGGATGCGGGGAAATTGGAGTCATTGAAACAAACTCGTTCCAGCACGTATATTACAGTAGATTTCGAATTTGACGGAGCGACGTGGGCTCATCGGCTTAGCACTCTTCATACCTGCTTCCCTCTTAGGACCCGGGAGATTCTTCAAATCGATAGCACCTTTGAGTGGCAATTAGCTTTTTGGAGCTCCCCTTGTCGCTGAAATACATACTCGGATCTGTGTTGTAAGTTTTAAGCAGGCAAGGAGCGATTTTCTCAAGCACTTCGGATCTAAGCCAAAGAGCTACGTGAAGATCGAATTCCTTATCGTCTTTTACACTTGAGGTGGCCCTTAAAATGCACACAACGTGCAGGTGCCGGCCTTTCTTCGCCTTGCACTTTGCCTCCAAAGTGACTTTGAGCCGCATTCGAACCAGCTGTACAAGTCCCTGTTGAGTTCAATGGATTGAGGTAGGCTCCATCCATCGAATACCCACGGCAAATTTTCTCTGATTTCGCTTTCTTTCGCACCTACGACTCCTTCTAAAAAGGTCGTCGTATGTTCAACAATCCTGTGGCACCGGATAAGGCATATCGTCTTTAAGGAAGCCACAATAACCTTGCGTTGCATTAGTGGCATTGCTCAAGATCATAAATTGTAGATATAGATGACTGTACTTACCATAGTGACAGTGAATCTCGATATGCTCAGCTCAGTCGCTTAGTAGGCAGAGAGATAAATTATAATAAAAAGAAGTTAGGGGGTTTGCTGATGTTTAATTTATATGGAGCAAGGCACCAATCATTTGTTTATATACTAGATAGTCTCCTAGGCCCAAGATCACAGTTCCTAGGAGTCTCCCGGTACGTAGAATGAGCGAAGCGAAATTAAGTGTTACAGTAGTTTTCGAAAACAGCTATACCTCTACACTATTCCTTGATTCCCGCGCAAGGGTACGAAATGCGCTAGTCCCGATATGGAGAACCCGAAACCCGTAACCCGTCCGCCTCCCAGACCGCTTACTAAGATTGTAGCTGTATCTTACAATACGGTCCCCACCGTCAGTCTATGTAATTTACATGACACTGCTAATTACTCCATCACTACCAACCATACTGTCTTCACTAAGAATTCGCAGAAGCCCAATATAGACGTCATGGCTCCAAGACTCTCAGCCTCAAAGCTTCATCTCATCCGTGACATGATAGAGAGCCAGTCTTTTACCACGTCTCAAATGGCCGCTGAAGCTAAATGCAGCAAAGTTACGATCATTAATTATCGTAGGAATTTACGGCAATTCGGAAGTATCTACGCACCCTTGACTCGAATAGGCCGGAAACGAACCGTGATTCCGCTGATAATAGAAGCCCTCTGTAATCACCTATCCGAAAAACCCGGTCTATACCTCGATAAGATGGCTGTCTTTCTCTAGGATGAGTTCCGGGCATTGGTTACAACCTCCAGCATTAAAAGAGCCCTTATCGCTCAAGGCTAGTCTAAAAGACTACGCGGCAACGCGTAAGAGAGCAAAATTCCGACCTAAGAGATTATTATCTGCATAACATTTCGGAGTTCCAATCGTACCACTTAGTATATATTGATAAATCTGGGTGTGATAGAAGGATTGGGTTCAGACGGACAGGTTAGGCGCCGCTTAGCAAAGCTCCACTGCAAGTGACACAGTTTCATCGCGACCAGCGATATCAGATACTTCCCGCGTATGCCCAAGATAGAATCGTTCTCTCGCGAGTCTTCCACGGCTCTACGAATGCTACCGTGTTTGAGGACTTCATAGCTCAGCTACTCCAGCATTGCGGAAGATGGCCAGAACAAAAATCCGTTCTTGTGATAGACAACGCATCATTTCACCACTCAGAGGGTCTCGCACAAATGTGTGTGGATACTAGGGTGAAATTGGTCTATTTGCCGCCCTATTCGCGCGACCTCAACCCGATTGAAAAATTCTTTACCGAGCTTAAAAGTTTTATCAAGCGTAACTGGAGTCGCTATGAGAGAGACCCCGGCCAAGGCTTTGATATTTTCCTCGAATGGTGTGCAAAAGAAGAGAGTGCCAAAGGCCATTTTCGCCATGCGGGATTGAAATAGAAGTGTTAGGTGGTTGAGCAGTTGAACACTGACTGGCGGTAGATATTGCGATATATACACATAGGCCACAAAAGTGCGAGGAAAGAGAAAGGCTTAAGATAAAATGAGGTCTGACTTTGATTTTGATGTCACAATGACTTGCTACTTCATATTTTCCAGTTGGATTATTGCTTTCCGTTATATTCCTAGTACAGCATGGATCGAAATCAGATCCACCAGCTACACACAGATTCTTTCTCGAGTCCTCTTTTGAAACGTCGCTATACCTATTACGGTTAATCTACCCCCGAACCCCATTCTTAGTAGTATTCCAGTACGTGTGTAAATGACAGCGTAAAAATAGCATCCGTAATGAGCTTATATAGTCTCAACGGCCTCTAGAACGTTAATCCTACAAACAAAGCAAACAAAAGGGAAATCCGCTTTGTCAGTGGTTATTTAGTAGAATTCGAATTCGCTTCCTCTTAATATCTCATCCTCCATAGCTCTATAGGAGTCCTCTATTTGTAAAGCTAGAGATATTAAAGAAGTTTTAAAATGTGGATTCTAATTAAGAACCTCTTTATTAATAGCCCTACGCAAGCTAAATTTCCTATAACCCTAGGGTGGCTCTAGTCTAAGTCATGAATTGCCTATTAGAAACGGAACCTTACAATATCTAGATTAATCAATTATAGTGTTAGAGGATAACTAGGTAGTCTACGTCTAGTCCTAGGTGTCGACTCACTAGTATTTAAAGGATAAAGGATATTGCGTAGATAGCCCTAGAGGTATATATTCCTACTTTCTTATATATAATATCATTTTAAATATTAAGCAATCACTTAGCAAATACTACTAACCCCTAGCCGACTTAGAAACCGTCTACATAATTTCTAACCTTAGAAGCCGTGCCTAGGTAGAGGCTCTTTTACCTAAGTGATTGCAATCTATAGATACTATATCACTCTACGGATCCGTATCTCCTCTAGATAAGATCCACTATACGACTACTAGAGTGTCTATTCGAATAACTTTCCTAGACCGATTGCCTAAGCTTTGCCAATAGTTTCCGTAGTGCCGCGCGATCCTTATCGTCATATTCTAGTGACGGTCTCCACGTATTCTTAAGGTTTATAAGTTCTTTAGGATCCTCACCTTCTATATAAGGCGAAGGGCTATATCTATTATAGTAGCATATATACTAATTATAATATAGCCCGACCTTAATATCCCTCTCCTACTTAAATAGAATATCCACGTACCAATTACTACAGCCGATTCAAAAGTGTCGTAGTTTTAGTAGTTTCTCTACAAATAGATCGAAAATATAGTGCCATCGCTTCTCGAACGAACTATATAAAGACTTATCGCCCTCGCGGCGCACTAAGGCGTCCCATGTTGTATCGATTAATCACCGCCAGCGGCCCCTTCCTGACTCCTCGCCCGGCGCCTCTCTTTCTCTAAAAGCCCCAACCCGGTAATAAAGACCATAGTATCAAAAGCAGCCCCATAATCCACATTAATCTGGAACTTGCCAGACTTCTTCCAGCTTTTTGTCCCATTATTAAGGTAAACAGCGACGAGCTCGGCAGTCCGTTCATCCTGAAGCTTAAAATTCTTCGAACCGATTTTCGACGGCTTCTCCTCTCCAATTCCGACACTATTGGTTCGCTTCCAGACAAAAGCCCTTCGCTCACCACTATTCAGTGCGATCTCGAACCGATAATGTGTCGTGAGTTTATGGCGCGTTAGATCCTCCCAGGCGACGTTGGGATCATTCGGATTACCGAGACCCACTTTGCAGTGTCGAGAGAAATTGATGAATTTGCAGACGGCTGTGATCGGGGCATCCTCAGTTTCGCCGGCGTGGTATGTTAAATCTGGTTTGCCGACGGTAAAGGTTGAACAACGCACGTATGCGAGGGGGACTTTTTCGGCAGTGAAGATGGCAAAATCGAGCTTTCGTCGCCGATGGTAGACGTGGAAGAGGCGTGACGATGGGGTTATTGGTGGGACGTCGTTGTAAATTGAGAGTTCGGCGGAGCTTTTGCTGCCCGGGCGAGCAGTGTTTGCAGCATCCAAGTAAGGTTCAGAGGACATTTTGATGTGTGGCTGAATTCGGTGGTATGGATTCTTCCTCTCATATCGGAGTATCAAACCTATATATGAACATAAGCCTATTTTAAGGCTTTGTAACCAGCAAAGTGAGGCTGAGTTGTCAACCTCGTGTTGGGCGGAGGCTGATCCCCAGTGTAGATTAGAGCACGTCCAATCAACTTTCTGCAAATACGGTTGCACCGCCTCATAAGTCCCGATGTTATTGACAACTAAGTCGGTTGTGTCTCCGAATAGCCCCGAAAGTTTATTCCTGACAAAAATAACGCGTGGTTCCCTCTGAAGAACCAAGAGGAATTGAAGATCCCTGCATCCGTGTGCGTATGGAGCGTGAACCAGTGTTGACATCTCGTTCGCTCACTCCACACACTCGAACGAAAATTCCATACGTATGAGATACTGGCAACATATCCACCCAAGCTGGTAAAGGTAAGCAGGAGACAGTTCCATGCATTCTTTGCGCGTGGTTAGTAGTGCCGATTTTGAGACCAGCGCTTCCCACAAATAACGGCAATCAACAGTGTATCCTGTTCGACGCCGCATTGAATATTTCCCCGAAACGCGGCAGCGTTGTAACTTCACAATTCGGCCCATTTTAGGGTCTCTTCTGCTCAAGGGCAGAGCCTGACAGTCTTGCGATCGTCAGAACGACGTCGAAGTTACAGATACTAGTCATATGTTCCTTCCCACTCCGCCCCACTATATTGGCCCAACAACCAACCCACCATTTTATTTTTCTTCCTACACCTCCCCTATTGCTCCAATTGCAATGAAATTAGGACCAAAAAGTAGCAAAATGGCACAGCTATCTACGTCCCAAAGGTTAGCTATTATCTATGCTCACGAGAATAGCGCTACGCAAGTGCAATTAGCTAATGACTTTGGCTGCTCTCGGCGTACAATCTACAATACGCTAAAACGCTATTTAGAAGGCGAAAAGCTATAGAATCGCGAAAAAAGCGGTCGTCCCGCTATTATTAGTGAGCGCGCTTGCTCTTATCTCTATTTACAGGCACGTCGGCATCTGTTTTGGACCTATAAATAGCTAAGTGCTGCCATAGCTCAGCATCCGTCACCCTCCACTATTCGTCGAATTATAAAGCGATTCGGACTCAGAAAACGGCGATCGAAACAGAAAATACCAATTAAGCCTCCTCTTGCAAGGAAGAGGCTAAAATTTGCGCGAAAATAGCGACGTGAAAGCTTCTAATTGTGGATCTTCTTAGACGAGTGTTTAGTGTAGCGAACCTCGAACTTTAGACCACAATAGTGCTTTCGTACGACCTTAGAGGGCCTTCGTAAAGACCTTATGAATACTAAGGCTTACGTTAAAGATATTTCGCAAATAGTTTAGGCCGGAATCTAGCTAGGAGGTCGAACAGATTTAATAATTATGGAACGTGACGAAGAATCGCGTTCGGGGAGGGTTTATACCGCAAAGTCGTATATTTCGACGCTTAAAAAAGGTCTAATGCTAATCTACATCCCTAATTTAGTATTTCAGCAAGATAACGCGAGGATTCACCTAGCAAAGGACACGAAAGAGTGGTTTGAAACTCACGGAGTATACGTCGAGGATTGGCCCGCGCACTCACCCGATTTAAACCTAATTGAACCGGTATAGCGCTGGTTAAAAGTGAAGCTTTTTGCAATGTTTCTAGAGCTTATTGGCCAAGGAAGGTCGGAGGCAGACTAGAAATATTTTAAAAAATGCCTAGTGGAAGCTTGGAAGGCATTAGATCAGGCAAAGATAGATTCGCTAATATTGAGTATAGGAAGACGTTTAAAGGCAGTGAGGAAGGCTAAGGGGTATTACACAAAATATTAAGCGAATTTTCGAAAGTGCTATTATTAAGCAACCCTGAAATTTAATTGTAATATTATAGACCATAAAATGGTGGTGCTATATACTATACAAGTGATATATATATTTTGAGAGGGGACCCGAAAAAGTGGAGTGGGAAGGAACATTTGGTAGGGGATGTCATTGAACAATACTGTAGTGATAAAGCCAGGCCTTTTTTGACGGGACGAAGGTTGCCGTCTAAAGGCGAAGGGATACTAAAATTTTTACTCCTGAGAGTGATCAGGAGCGTGAACCTTAGTATGAGGCTGGGCCCGGTTGCTATACGAACCACCTGCGCATCCAATTCAAGTTCATCTCTGATCTTTCCGCCAACGAGGTAGAAAGACTAAGCGACTCGTTGATGCCATTATGTAAGTGCTTATTGCGACGGCCTCACAGTGTAAGTAATTTTATGGAAGCATATGGATTCTTTCTAAGACTATGCGATGTATTCATGTCTTCTCGGGAGAATAGGATCAGAACATGATTTCTGTGCACTTTAACGTTGAAGTGGAAAACTACGTGATTTATTCAAGGAGTGTAATGAAATGACGAGATAGCTCTTATAAAGAGATAGCTTTCCTAATCATAAAAGCTTGACTTCAATAAAAAAGCTATTTCTTTAGCATCAGTGCACACGAGGATGGTTTTTGATTTAGACATGTATATTAAAGAGATCCAGTCGTGGCTAGCATGATGTTACGCACGACTATCGGGTCGTCACTATGTTAGAAGATTCCCGGGTTATACTTGCCTGAATGCTTCCTTGTTTCCAACGTCAACGATCTGTCTCTCAACCGTACCGTTGCCTAATAGGCCTTATACGGGCTAAGTCCTTTTGAGGGTATCGAGGAGCGATGCCAGATAATGCGCCGAACTAACCAATACCGGAGTGTAGGTTTATTCGTAGTGTTGTCAAGTTATAATCAAGTTGTACGAGTCACCAAATGTTCTGAACAGTAGACACAAGTAACAATGTATGATTTAACACGAAGAACTAAACTAAGTATATGAGGGAGGGCCCTTATATATCCTTCGTTCGGCTACTCCTTTGTCTACTCCCTCGGAGTAGATTCAGGAGTACCTCTTTGTTTGGGTCACGTGGTTGGTGCTTATCAAACCACTGTGGTTGTGCGGAACAAAATGTGTTTGTGCTGACCAGGCCGAAAGTGGTCTTACTGTCCTTTAGCGTTGTGGTATATCTTGGTGCGACGGTACACTGGTAGCTGGCGCCTGTCTTGGCTGATCGCCCTGAGTGCTCAGGCTGGTCATCACGTGATACTGATGACAGATGGATCGGTTGGCTCTCGGTGGCCCATCAGTAAGTTGCGGTCCCAAATTGATTGTGTGACTAGCCTGTCCGTAACACCTTGTTATACTAGCTCTATACGTAAGAGAGAAGGGATAGCTACTTCTCGATAAGCGAATATATTAAGCCACGGAGAACAGCCGTTACGTCTATAGCTTAGCAAAAAAAGAATAAGACATTCGTAGTGTCCCTACATATTCGAGTTAATTCATCGATAATACCGCATAGTAGCATTGTCTTGCCTTTGCCCGGATCGCCTCTAATCTAGAGGAGACAGTTATTCTGGTTGTCTCGCCATTATTAAAACTCCTCGTTATAGAGAATCTAGTAGTATGAATCCTTGAATAGCCCTCCGTTGATCTAAATACGATCTTTGTTATGGTAAGGATCAGTCGTCCGCAGATCCGGTAGGCGCGCTTAATTCAATATTTCCGATTATTCTAAGGCAATTACACTGACTAGCCTTGTCCTCTTATATTGAAGCGCCCTACTTACGGAACAGAGCAGTGCTATAGCTAAGGTTCTACCCAACTCAGAGCCTAGAATTTGTCCTATCATATAATGTCGTATACGCCATTATTGTATCTAGGGGATTCTCGGAAGGGGCAATCACGAGCATATAGCTGTCAGGTAAGCTATCAATCGACGCTAGTAAGCAAAGATTCGTTGTTTTGGTTTGGGCTTCTCGTTCTATCGAACACGCTAGATACGTGATAAATCTACGGGTTATTACGCAAGCTCGGCTAAGTATTGATTCACTATGAGAAAGAATGTTATCAGTATTGGAGTAGTGACTCGTGAGAAGCATTGATATATATAGACATGAACCATATGATTATTTCCAATATTTTACAGAATATCTCATGTGATTTGGAGTTACATTACGTTTCGCGAGGTTGAAATTATCTAAACCGATCGTAGACTAGCGTGTTTCAGGATTAAGTTTAGAAAAGAATCGAAGAGAGTAAAATTGTGAAACTGATTTCGAGCGCGTCTGTATCAGCGTGGTTGTATATCATTCCATTTACTCCGTATAGGAAGGAGCAATCGCCCTTTAGAATGACAACAATAGTAAGGAAGTCCCAAAGTCAAAGGTAAGGATCCGAGCACGATTGTGGTGCCCTCAGAATAGGCCCGCCTACCTATTTTCAGCCTTGTTATACTAAGCTAGGAGAGTATGTTATTAGAGTCCTATACGGCCCGTAAAATACTACGAATAGTGTATAAGGATTTGAAGCACTACGAGTGCTCTCGTGACAAGAGAGGACATAGTAGCAAGGGGGCTCCTAGGTAATGAAATATCTAGATTCTTATTAGTCGAGGTAATAAGTCTGGTTAGATTTGATTAGATCGGTGATCGAAAGTAGAGTGATCTTTAGAATAAAGCCTACGATTTGTTTTCGACCTACGACGAAGTCACTAGGAAATAAGTTTGATATAGATATAGAATCACGAGCGGGACTATCGACTAGTAGCGGAACCGTAAATTATTTCGAGAACTTATTTAGATAAACCATAGAAACACTTATTCGGTGAGAGAATACGGCTATTATAAAGAATTTAAGCCCGGGCTTCTACCCTACTTACTTACTAGGTTGCTCGTGATTAAGCCCTATAGTCTAAAAGAGAAGTCTAGAGAATTAGGGCTAATCACTACTATCTCTCTCTACTTATGTATACGATTTTAGAAAAGACTAATACTATATTAAAGATTCTCTATCGCTAGAGTCATGATTAAGATTCGTAGGGTGATTGAAATAGAGTTTAGGGGCCGTAGGAGGGCCGGCCTACAATATCGACTTATATCCGGAAGCTAATCGGTCTCTTAGCTTTTAGTGCAAAAACCGACGACATTTTACGTGATCTTATATAGTCAATCCACAATTGGCATAGTTCTATAAGCTATCTATTTAAGATACTAGACTAGCGACAGAATTATATAGATAGAGAGGATATATCGGGCTTAAAGAGAGTATACTCTCTATAGGGAAGGTTTATGTAGGATAAAAGACATAGCTTCTAGAATATTCTATAGACTAGATAGACAAAGAGTAGCTTGCTACTTGATAGAGGATACTTACTCTTTTGTGATAGTAACTAGGAGAATATAACCACTGATTAGGTTTTAGTGTACTACTCTATCGCTAAAGTCTGCGTGATATTTCAAATACCTAACCTACCCCACTAGTACCTCCTAAGCAAAGACCTATTCTATTCCTAAGCTAACTACTATCTAGTCTAGTCCTATAGCTTATGTCTAGACCTTTGTAAGCCCTTATATTTTCTTTTTCGGGCCATAAATATAAGCTCATTGATCGAATATCACCTAGGTCGTCGCTAGGATTTATATCGCACCCTGTACCTACGTCTATCTAAATTCGCGTATAGTGTTTGATTAGCCTATCGGGTGCTATTTATATCTAAGCTCTTATTAATGTGATAGTAGCGTTGCAATCTCGCGAGATAGATAGCGATCATAAGAACCTAGCTCGTGAGCCTTAGTAGCTATAATAGTTTATATAGTTGTCCTAGAAACTAGGTTCGGTTTCCTATTTATGTCTTTCTAATAGGGTCTAGACTTTGGTTATGCCCTCTTAAAGAAAGACAATCTATATCCGGAGTTTAAGAGTATATTAGTGTCTATGCGCCTAGGGAGTAGAAATTTAAGTATATATAACATTAGCTAGCTGCGAGTAGATAGGAAAGAAATAACATTTAACGGCGCGGGGCTAGGGATGGATAGGATTGATTCTAGCGAGACGAAAGGGTCCTCTAGTTAACCGTAAGTACACTTTAGCGTTTCTGTCAACTATAAAGTCTATAACCTATTATTTCGGTATCTATTAAAGCACTTTAACCCTATAAAAGAGACAGTGACTACGGCTAAAAGGGGTAGATATAGAGTGCTACCGCGTTCATCCTATTTTTGCGGCGTTAGTTTTATTTTAATAGTTAATAAAAGTGGTTTACCACACTTAACGTAGAATTTTGAGAGGAATAATTCTAGCTCGAGACTTAACTCTATAGGCTATAAAGTCTCTAAACACTATTTTAACGTCGTAAACCCCTAAGCTTTAGCGCCTATTAACGAGGTAGTGATTCTCGCTACTATCTACGTAACTAGTTCCTTCGTAGAGACATAGCCGAAAAGGCATAAAAGGGGCCGGATTCCTAGCCTAAAAAACTTAGGACTTCGGTCCTCACACTTTAATATATTATAGTGTCCCTCTCTTGCCTACTAGCTTAAGAGCTTCTATGACCACGGCTGTCGCTACTACAAGCCTAGTGATATAAGAATATACTCCTCGCTACTTTAAGCCCTGCGAGTGTAAAAAGGTGCTTCGTAGGATAGGTGTGCGTGAACAATAATCCTCGTAGGATAGGTCTACGTCAATAACAATCCTCATAGGGAGGTGCTGCGACAACAAGACTACCTCGTAGGGGGACGCTGCGACAACAAGGACCCTAACGACGTGTAGGCACCTCTTCGTGGTGTTAGGGACTAGTATTCGAGTATTCTAAGAGTATTCGGTAAAGCAAAGACCTGCCTAACATCTTTATAATCTGTTTCGTATTCCGAAGAAGCACCATTGGATAGATAGAATGAATATAGATCATCCCAAATTCAATCCCAAAATCGTAAGATTCAAACTAGGCTTACGTCGTTAGCGACCTATATTCCCACTCTTGCTACCTTTTTCGCGGTCCGTAGAAAATGGCATTTTTCATTTAGGTGTAGAGTAAATAGAGATCTTGTGCGGGTATGCTTGTCTTATTTTGATAAAATGTTTGTTATGGTGAGAGTTAGTGAGAGTTAGTGAGTGTTGGTATGTTAGTGTGTTAGTGCGTTGATGTGTTGATGTGGTGAAATGTGTGTATTGAAACATCACTGTTGTAGTGAATGGTAGTGCGGTGAAGGGAGGGGTGGTCAACGCCTCACCGAGGCACGCAGTTTCTTGCATCAATTGCATTGTCTCAATTCTGCAAGTCCTTTTTGACCCCCTATGGTCACTCGGTGACGTTGGCGTACAGTCTCCAACTCATTAGAGATGATCAGATTTAGACATTGCTCAACTATGATCAGGCAATATACTGTACGCTCAAAATCAGAACTACGAGGTGTAGAGCCATGTGATGATGTCTCGCTCGAACATACGAATCGTGGGTTCAATTCAAGATGATTACGCGATAAGCTCTGTTCCTTGCGTAGTCAAAGAAATTGCTTCAGATGACTATTGAGTGTCACTTAAACCTACCCTACAATAAGATTCTTACATCGTATAGCAATGGCGAGAGTAAGTCGGTTTGCCTCGAGGACAACCCTTTTATTGAGGGCTTTGACTCAAGAAAATCCGATCTGCTCCTTCTACACATGGGCAGCGTCGCAACTTTGTGAGTAGAGCTAGTTCTTTTTTAGCAGATTGATTATGAACTCTTTCAAAAGTATGCTTGAAATTTCTTTATAGAACTATTGACGGATGAAATCCGTAGAATTTGGTTTCCGAAGGTTGTGCATGTCACCAGAGGGCTACGATATTCATTGTCAGCCTTTCATATTGTACGAGCCACGTAACGTCAACTATGTCGCAGCAAGGTCACTTGGGCGTAATAGTAACAGGATATCCTTGAGTACAGTATCATCTAAACCAATGACAAGCTGTCTGAGGTTTCAGTAAAGTGCAGGCTTGTTGAGTGTGAAGAAATACCTTGCAGACAACACCCAACTCTGGAGTCGGCGGCAGAGTTTTTGACAAAGTCTCTCGCATTGTTGCTGGCTCGACTCTGGCAGTCAATGCATTGACCCTGGAAACGTCAAAAGCAGTTATAGGAGCTGCTTATCCCTAGGAACTCCAACCTATCTCCTGGGGCTGTCAGGGATACACATGAAGCATATACGATGAGTGGAGGATTAACGTTATGGCGGACCCACCTGTCACACTGACCTTCCCGCTTTATACCTTTTTGATGTGTCTGCTATCTACAATGGCTGCTCCGTTATAAAGACAGAACTGAACGGATAGATCGAAAGCAGTCGAGTTCGCTACATCATATTAATACAAGTAGACCTGGTGCATAACTAATAGTGCTTGCAGAGTAGATTCGGTTTACGGTTTCTTATAAGGCTGAGCATCACCCTCACGTCCCGAGGTCGAGCTCCCTAAAAGACGCTTTGAAAAGACTACATTGTGCTATGCTTAAAACATTACTAGCCATGAAAGTGTTGAAAGTTTCCCAGTGAAGCGTATTGGTCATCATTTGGCATCAGAAACTACTTTTGTTAAGGTAGGAAACTGGAGAGACAGTGCCACTGACTGATGGACTGATCACTGTATCTCACGAATAAGAAAAATCTCGTAACATGGTTTGGAGAGACTAATCTCAGCCTTATGCCATAAATGGCGCGGCAGTAGCAGGGGCAGCAGGCGAATGCTATTGGCGCGTGCGTGTACAAACATCAATATCTAACCTCCTGGCTTGCACTCGTCTCTGGGCCCATGTACATGTATTTGCACCACCGCCAAGTCGTTCGGAGGGAGAGACCAATTTTATATGCATCTCACGGGGAGCATGAACGAGTTGTGCTAACCACTTAAACCTTTTCCCAGTTTCAGGAGACTTTCCCGAAACCTAAAATTTGCCCAGTTTGTGAACCTTCGCTTTCTCATTTGTTACCTTATGGAAGTTGTACGTTACCGTGCTCGGATTCTGTCATCATTATCTCGACTGATTCAGATGCCTGCACTAATGGAATGAAGCTCGAAGGGTCTTCATGTATCGACCCTTAATGTTACAGTACTCAAGATCATCTGTCGGAGCTATGCATTGCCCCCTTCGAATATGCATAGACAGTGGCATTTGGGACGCTAAACTAGTGCAATTGTTTATACGAGCAAAGATGATAGCAGTGCAGCTGGATCACTTCATTCAATTACCCTAAGAATGACTGTTTGCTCGGAGAAGTCATTCTCACTTCTGATAGAGTTCTAATTGTTCATCCGTCCAAATAGGTGCGTTGTCATTGAAAAAGACCCTTTCTTGAGAAATATCACTCAGGCGAGGCAGTTCAAGCTCAGTCCAGACACCCTCTAGTGCCTCAATCAACTCCTTTTGCAAGTCTTTGGTATGTCCAGGGGTAGGTGTAATCCGTAGTCTCTCCATCCCACGCTCGACCGTGGGATAGTTGATAGATTGAACATAGATGGCATGCTTCCGTAGCAAAAGATCAGAAGCTGCCTTCGCTTTTTCCGCGTCGCCAACAAGCAGTGGTATTATATGAGAGGGATTTGGGACAACCGGGAATGCCTGGGCGACAAGCTCAGCCTTTAGCATGCGTGTATGTACCTGCTGAAGGACACGCTCGGCAGCGCAATTTCGCTGATACTCAACGGCTGCATGAGCCCCGGCCATCACGTGTGGAGGGAGAGAGGTAGTAAAAATAAAGCCTGGTGCAAGACTTCGAATGAAATCTACGACACTGCTGGTCGCCGCAATGTAGCCTCCCGCACCTCCAAATGCCTTTCCCAGAGTCCCACTAACGATATCGACTCGTGACATCACATCCCTGTGAGATCTGGACGGTATTCTGGACTTTTGACGGGCCTGATGAAACTCAAAGTCGAGGTGTTCTGCGATGCCAGCCCCCGATGGTCCATACATCCCAACAGCATGAACTTCATCCAGAAAGGTAATCGCACCGTATCTTTCAGCCAAGGTGCAAATACCCTCGATCGGTGCAATTGACCCGGACATGCTGTATACAGACTCAAATGCGATGATTTTGGGTCGATGGGGTGCAACAGAATCGAGTTTTGACTCCAAATCTTCAAGATCATTGTGCTTAAAAATGATTTTCTGGGCTCTCGAGTTTCGAATACCCTGAATCATAGACGCATGATTCATACTATCGCTGAAAATCACACAATCAGGCAGCTTGCTCCCAAGCGTAGAAAGTGTCGCGTCATTTGCCACATAGCAGGAGGAGAAAACAAGCGCGCTAGGCTTATTGTGCAAGTTGGCGAGAGTCTTCTCCAGAGAAATGGCATGAAAATTGTGGCCAGATATATTGCGTGTACCCCCAGCCCCAGCCCCATAGGTTTTCAACGTTTCGCTCATGGCATGAAGGACAGTAGAATTTCTACTCATGCCCAAATAGTCATTTGAACACCAAACAGTGACCTTATCTTCTGTGCTGGATAAATGTGCTCGAGGGAATTGGCCAGCCAAACGATTGATGTTGTTGAAGTATCGGTATGATCTGTCGCGATGTTTCTCTTCAAGTTCGTTCATACAGAACTGTTCTAAATGATGCCTCCCGAAATGGCCGGTAGGGTTTGGTGTTTGTTCCTCGACGGTTCCAGAGTGAAAACCTGGAGCAGTCGTTTCCCGAAGTGGTCGACACGGTAGTGTTCTGAATGGCTTCAACTTCAGATGTCTAATCATGGTGGCGTGGATATACTAAATGACTCCAGGAGGAAATTGAGAGTTGAACTATGAGCGCCCTCCATTACAGTAATTTTTCTAAGTATTTGTCTTCACCGACAATTCGTAGTCTCTGTCTTTCACATTTTCCAAATCCAAGAGCGGCTATCTACGGATTATGTGGGCGCGTTGCATAGTCCAATTACTACGCGTTACATACACATTTGACCATTACATACCGGTTACGACGAGTATAATCGTACTCGTGAGAATAAATGTCGCGCGATGTTGCCATTTTTTCCGAAGTGTAGACTTCTTGACGGCACGATCGGCGGCGGGCTGGACCCAGCGATCTATTTTTAGACTCCACCATAAGCGGCCCTTTGCTTCTCAGTCAATGACAGAGTAAGCGAAATGCGTGGATGAAGAACGTATTGTGGAGGCGCGAACTTAGAGCCGATAATGACATCAAATGACATACAATAACGCACACTTCACCGCTGCATCTATAGACTATAGACCCCCAAGCGGGTCACATCCTTCTGAGCGAATTATTCGCAACCTGAGAGTATATATTCGTATTGCCACATGAGACATGTAACGACGTGCAGTGCTGCAGTATGTGTAGTCGAAGCACCCTGTCTCGACGGACAACGCATCTCCCGCGCAGATCGATCGCGTGTTGCATTAGAAGTTGCATCCAAGCTGCATTTCACTTGCGTGAAGCCTTCTTCTCGTTCCCTTCTCGTATCTCATGTATTTTTGCTACAATAACTACTAAACCTTGAATCAAATTCCTCGACCAGTTATTTGAAGATTAGCTCATTGTGGAGAGATTGAGTACGTGGGATTGGTGTTCCACTGTTCATGGCGGGGATAGGGGAGATTATTTTGGATGGTGCGGGGTTGTATACGCCCTGTTCTTGTGAAGACCCACGTTGCAGATAGTGGCTAGTAACAGAATGAAAATTTGAACTATCTAGTTTATACAACACCGGTCGTACTGCTTGCGTGGTTGGCAACTTTCTGCATAGAGCAACGACATGCAATGCTGCCTCGTATTCCAAGGAACAATGGTAACTTTCACAGGGACAATCCTGACTGGGATTGTTGCTCCATAACCCCTCGTATTGAAGTTTGTTCTATCCTTCAGCGCCCTCAGCAGTATTGACCGAAGCCAGTGCGCCCCACCAGATGAGGAGTCGAAAATACTATAAAGATTGACTGCCGCATGGCAATCAGAGATTACTCCGCAGGGAATGATTCGGTGTTAAAATTATTGCTTCTATCGTAAATGCACTCACTAGCATAGGCGTGCATCAGAACAAAGGCTTGGTCTGATTTGTTGATCAGCGAAGTCTTCTATCCATAAAATCCACAAGTGGCCGGTCGTTTATACATCACGGTGTTTGGGTATCGAAAAGAATATTAGATATGAATAGTCTGTTTTTATGGGTTTACACGCATTGAACTAGTCTGTTTGCGCTTGAAAGTGAGAAATAACGCTGGAGTTGGGGTGAGTTGTCGAGCAGCCACGCACGTATTCAGCCAGCCCTGTTTCACCTGCAGAATCACAATTAGGCCCCGAGGACAAGATTACCTGGTACATTTGAGCCGAAATAAAGAAAACACCACGCTTGTAATACAGTAGAAATGTCCGCGGTGCATCTGTAAAATTGGACTTCGCATACCTGAGAATTACAAGCTCCGTTCCATGTGTCTAACAAATTGACTCTGTGGAGAGTGGATCTAGTTCACCGGGATTTCGATTTTATCGAATATCTCGGCCCAACATAGAGTGAGACCGGTGCTGCCCTGGTGCAGAGTACTTTTACCGAAGATATAAATTGGCGGCTTCTCTTTCCGAGTTGCGAACGGCAACCAAGCCACATCATGACCGTGCCAGAATCTCCGCTGGTAGCTCAGTCTGCCTCTCCCGCTAGCAGCAATATTCAGTGGGCTCCGGATGGCACAGCGCGAATCTTTAGCCAGCTCAAGAGCGGCTACAACCACACCGTCTCCGCTATGTGGCAAGCCGAACGGCAACTGCACAAGGTGAGTACACCTCATTTTACACCTCGGAAGGTGGCATACTCTAAACAATGTCCGAAGTCCATGTTTATCTACCCAATCTTCTTGTCAACCGATCCAGACTTGGAAGAGCCTATTCCAGGTCTCCCTGACCAGTACATACGGGGACTAAACAAGCTCCTACCCTTTCTATCTACTCTGGTTGCAAAAGGCCTTCATTCAGTTATTCTATTCGGCACGTTGCTTGGCAGCCACCCTAAGGACAACATTGGCTCCATGGCAGATAGCCCCGAAGGCCCCATAAGGCCCGCAATTCCACTTATTCGCCAGAGCTTTCCCAACCTGTATATCATTGCCGACGTAAGTCTCTGCGAATACACAGATCACGGGCACAGCTCCGTCCTATTCAAAGACGGCACAGTCAACAATGAGGCAACTGTCACACGTGTCTCTGATATGGCGCTCTCTTTCGCTCGAGCTGGCGCAAACTGTGTGGCTCCATCTGATATGAGCGACGGTCGTATCCGTGCAATCAAGCTGAAACTTCTCGAAGTCCGACTCGAAGGTAAAGTCGCCATCATGTCATATTCCGCAAAATACGCCAGTTGTCTCTACGGGCCTTTCCGTGAGGCTGTATCTTCCAAGCTTGTCACAGACGAGCACAAGCGCTATCTACTGCCAACTCCCGCCCGCAAACTCGCTCAGAGAGTCATGCTCCGCGATATGCACGAGGGCGCCGATATGATCATTGTCAAGCCGGGTTATGCAGATATCATCAGCGATGCCAAGAGCATGGCCCATGTTCCAGTTGTTGCCATGCAAGTATCTGGCGAGTTTGCCATGCTCCACGCCGCTGCTCGTGCTGGTGTCTTCGATTTGAAAACCATGGCCTTTGAAACAACAGAGGTCATTGTCCGCGCAGGCGCCGATGCGGTCATCAGCTATTTTACTCCAAGTTTCTTAGATTGGCTGATTTAAAGTGTTGTGAATCTTCAAAATCGAGGAGGAGAGATAACACTATCACTAGAAATATATTCTAGAAATCCCATCTTTTGGTTTGGTAATCTCATTTGAAAGTCAACGGGGACGAGGAAACACCCTTTTCGTAGTTTAGCGCAAGTTTAGATTTCTACTCCCGGTGTACGGTATACGGTACCCAGACACAGCAACGAACACATCAAGCCATCGTGGACAAGTTTCGGTATGGCTACTCAAAGGCAATCTGTCTACTGGCAGGCAAAGTAGGCTGTCAGTGCGTGGGCAGAGACTCAACGAGCAACACATTTGGTCTTCATTATGTTTCATTCCGTTTAATGGATCGCATAGAATTGCGTTTAGCAAGTCGCCTATACTGGTTATCATCTTCTGTCTCCAATAAGCAGAATCCCGTGTTTATAGGTCAAGACCGTCCAGTGGCTTCCGGGCAACAACTCTCATCAATTTCAAATGCGGGGACTTTCCCTCCGCACACAAACTCCAGTGCTGCTCAATCAACTCTCCAGCCCGTTTCGATGCCGCCTCTTCGTCGGCAACCTGACCAGATCGCAACAAAAGACTTGCATACAACGTCTCAATTATCGAAGCGAGCCTTTTCTCCGTTTCAAGACGGAGATCACTATTCGCACTTGAGAGATAATGAAGCCTCACAACGTCGACTAAGCCGGCTTTTTTGCATTCCTCGTACACCTTGGCCGATGCTGCGAAACATTTACCCTCAGCTTTCAGCGAAAAATCGAAACACCGTCGGATCTCCTGAATCACGGGGTTGTCGGCTGATATGTAGGCTTCCTCGTCGATTTCCTCCCATTGAAGAAAACCACCAGGCTCTTTATAAGTAGAATCAAAGCGGTTAGTGTTGGCCCGATAAACGGGAACGTATTGGGAGACACATACTCAAGATGGCGGAAAGATTGGAGATTGCAGTCCTATAGTCGGTTTCTTCGAGAGCAGCAACAAGTAGTCTCACATGGACCACGTCATATCTGTTCCAATGTTCCTTGGGAAATGGCAATGTTATATCCTGAACAGAGAACTTGAAATTCCCTGGATTTTCAGGAAATTGATCCGCCGAGATGTCAAACCCATGATAGTAGCTGTTGGTGTTGGTTTTCTCCAAGACTTTCGAAACATCCTTCAGCCAGATACTTGTCAAGTTTGCATAAATAAGTCATCTAGGCTTGAAATAATTCGACAGCAGACTCACCCGGTTCCAGTTCCCACATCTGCAACAGAAAGCACGCCTTCTGTAGGAATCGATGGATGGATCAGGATGTTTTCGGTCACTTTTGATAGGACATTGTGCTGCGCATCAAGTCTAGAAGGATCAGTTAGACTTTTTATTAGACACCTTGCCCTATTTTAAATTTGTCTGTGGACGCCTACCGGTCTGATTCTCTTTTGTTTCTACCGAAAACATATTTGTCTCGAAAATTGGTCATTAGATTTTGCTGGCTTTGTCTGTTTAATGACAGAGGATGAATGATAGATGACGAAGGAGAGATCTTCAAGAGGAAATATAGAGAAACTCAACATTCGAATTGCCGCACCAGGTTAAGGGAGAGGGAGAAAATTTATCCTGCCTTCGGGACATCGGCACGGGACCAATTGAAGTCTGACTGCCTTCGACGCAATGCATCTCCATCTATCTGATCTTCCTTTGGAACCAGTCGCAAGCCGTGGTTTTGACCAATACAGTTAACAGGGGTCAAAGCACGACAAATGATGTCAAGGATACATATTAGGATGTGAAAAATAGTGAAAAAATAAGCGGTGGAGCAGGATGTGACCTGGCTTAGCTGAAAGATGCGGAGAAGACAAGTATACATCATGCCACCACAAAGATGCAAGCAGATCTGCATGCCGAGAACACAGATCAGCTGACCCCGCTTTTCGTAACGTATGGTAACCTTGAACAGTTCTGTAAATCCCTGTAACTATTCTCCCTCCGGATGAAAGAGATGTTCAAGGTTGCTCTATCGAGTGATAATTTATGCAGGGGACGGTAGGTAATTTTCATTCGTGGATCTGTCAGGCGGTGAGGCCCGATTTGCTGGCAGCGCACTACAAGACAGCCAGGGCAACCCCCTTCCACCGCTTCGCAGCGAGCTCGCGGAGCTTACTGCGGCAGCCGGAAATCAGAATGACTGCTTCGGCAGGCCCGTATGTGCTTGCTGCGAGCTTTGCTGGAACTTCCGAAGGTTTCATTTCCAGGTACTCCCATGTAACCGGGGATCCAGTGGATACGAATGCGCCAGGCCGCTAGCCGTAGGTTCTCTATCTGAATGGCGATGTTGCGGAGAATCTGCTGCCCGGAGCTGCGTCGCGGGTGGCACATGCCTGGATGGCGACCTGGTTGTCCGTGACCAAGAGACATGAAGTAGCTTCGACAGGCCTACTTGCATAGAGTCCCTACTCCAGGGTAACTGCATTCATTGCTATTATTACTATTGAATTTTAGATAGCCTTTAGCGAAGTTTGCTAGCGATATTATTGGCCAGGGTCATGAGTAGTCTATCCAAGTTGTCTATCTAAGAGGGAATGGAACATGATTTAATGTTGCGCAAGATTCAGTACGAGATTGACAGTTAATGTCATTGACACAACAGCACGATGTCCAGGGACTCAGGAAAGTTACATCATCCGCGCCTCACACCATTATTACTTAGCATTCTGCTGGTCGATGAACAATAGCTCATCCAGTCTTCAACTTTTGGTTTCAGAACAGGGTGATACCCGGGAATGCACTCGGGTGCTCATAAAGCTTTTTTTTCTCAGACCCATCTAGGTTGAACCTGTAAATAGCGCCACCCAGGTCTGCTGCATAGATGTGTCTATTAGTCATGTCAAGCTTCAGGCCAATGGGTTCATGAAGCCCATGAGCTAGGATTTGGTATCCTAGGGGTTTTTCTTGGAGAATAATGGCGCTCGAGGGCTTCTTGCAGGCTCCGACTGATGCAACGTTGATTGTATTGCCATATGTAATCTCCCCTCGGTCAGTCCAGTAGAGTGATTGAGTCTCATGGTCAATTTCGAGGTCGATACGCTCGGGGAGTTTGTCAAATAAGAGCTCAATATCAGTACGGTCTTTGACGGTTTCGTGGGGTGGAATGTGTAGATTGGCTCGAAAGATCCGACCAGTGCCGACTTGCTAGAGCCTTTTTGCGTCCAATAGAGCTTTTCGTGGAAGCTGTCAACTGCTAGTCCAACACACCATCGCATTTGATCTGCCTGATGGGACTCGCTTTCACAGTTGCCTGTTTGAATGACGGCCTCGAGAGCACTGCCATCCATATTGCACCGCATCACTTGGAGACCCTCACGATCGCAGAAATAGAGCTTCCGGCCCCTGTGATCTATGGAGATTTGTTTTGGAGTGTGTACCTTACCACTTGGTACAATGGTGCGAACATCCTGACCTTCAAGATCACAAGAATTCACCTATCCGTCACATGCTCCAATAGATCCCATGCATGTCCAGTAAAGTCGCCTACCAGGATGATCGATCACAATGCCGTCTGGCAATTTTTGGCCGCTGATCAAGGTTCGAACATCTTTCCCGTTGCTGTTTGCACACAAAATCCGACCTGAACTCCACGGATCATGACGGCAGCCAGTACCGACATCGAGAAAATAGATGAAAGTCTGTGGATGGTTCGGCTGGGGCTCTGCAGCCTTCGGATAAAGACCCCAAGGTCCCACTTTTCTCCTAGCTTCCCATTCTTGATGTATTGGGAGTCTAGAAAATCTCTAGGCTTAGGATTCAGCGACCGTTCTGCGATATAGTGGCTCTCTATGAGCGCAACGGTGTCTAGGCCGACCTAGTCGATCCTTCGACACGGACCCAATTTGGAACCCCAATTTCGCACCAAATAGTGTCGATGTTTCGCGGGGATGCCACACCGTCGGCAAGAACGTTCAAGCATTCGCGCTTAACGGCTGCCCAGATACGGTTAAAGAGGAAGCCGGTTTCTGAACCGTTATTGGAAGCATGCCAATATCCCTCAGAACGTCCTCGAGGAATGAAAAGATTGCAAGATCCGTGAATCCATCTGTCATCAACTCGACTACCCGCATTTCTGGAGGCAGGTAGTAATGCATGTTCAGAATTCGATTGCGATTCTCAGGTTCACCAGGACAAGCATATCGCGTGTCTTGTAGGCCGACGAGTTAGAGCATAGTATACAGTCGTCCATAACGAGCGCATTTAGCTGACCGAAAGTGTCGATTTTTAGCTGGAGTGACTCCGGAACTGCTTCGATAACCAGCCAAGCGTTCTTGACGGCCTCCTCCAGAGTCTCGACGGCTTGAACTTGGCCTAGCTGTTTACCAGTCCTCTTCTCGGCCCTCAGCAAATTTTCGCTCACGTATTGAATGGCAGCAATGCGCTGGGACTCATCTGGCTCACGTAGACTGACAGTAAAACCACCCGCTGACCATACAAGGGCAATTCGTCGACCAAGAACACCAGCGCCGAGGATGGCCACAGATCGTTCCGCTATCTAGGGGGTAGCCCAGGAAAGAGTCATGGTGAAGTTGGAAGAAGTCGCGTAACGTTACAAGCGGAACTAGGCAGAAGAGTAAAGAATGACAGAAAGGAGATGTTAAAAGGGAATATGTACGATAAGCCTAGGTAATCGCTCTTTTATACTTGGCCTTGATGGCTATACCCGGCTTTGGATGCCGCATTATCCGAGAATAGATCTCAAAGAATCCAATCATTTTCAAAAAAAAAAAAAAAAGAAAAGAAAAAATTAAATGACCCACAATAACAAAAAGTAAATTTGCTTCCTTTCTGTTGTGCTGAGTAGTCAATCACTGGGTAGCGGACGGTAAATGGGAATAGAAGTTAACCGGAACTCGGGTGACCCACAGCGGGAAAAAATTAGAGATCTCTCACATTCTGACCGAAATACCAAGGATCCCCCTTCCGTACAGAATTCTTTTTCAATCTTATACAGTAGTATGATGACTTACCGCCTACGGAAGTCGATAGGGAGATTCGGGTCACGTCTAAGGTGTCATAAATACCGCATCTGGTATACTAAGTCTCTGGCCAGTATCTCTAGTCATCAGGCGTCTTAGGTGTTAAAAGTCCTGACCGTGCGGGCTTCGAAACTACAGGGGATATCAGATAGCGGACCGGTGGTCCATGAGGTCCTAAAACCGCAGTCTCGGGGCCCACAGGGTCTCTGGTGCCAACTTCTCTTTCTCTGCTTCAGCGTCACTGAGCCCAGGTACTTAGGTTCATAGTACTGTACTTGTTACCGCCTAAGATTTGAGTCCTCGGTCCAATACCTTTGCTGGCTCTAGTTAGACTCGTCTGAGCCGACTGCTCCCTCGTTGGAACTATTTTATCGGTTCGATGGCGGAAAGCCACTTCAGCGACTTTATGATCCTTGCTTGAGTCTGCCACTTCGCGTATCGAGTTCCAGTGCTGTGTATTACAGACAAGAGCAACCGCTCTAAAGAAGAAATATCTCGACGTATACTATATCAGCATACACACATAGATTGGAGCAGATTGGGGGCCCAGAAAGACGAGAAATTCGACGACTTGCAAACCCATCGTATTGGACCCGTTTGATCGTTTCAGCGTGAATATAATTTTCGAAGTCTGGCTTCGTTTAGATAAAGTTGTTTTGAGAGTCCGCGTTCTTAAAGCTCCTCACGAAGTGAGTCTAGATGTCCGGGTGCTTGTGGTCGCCGTGGAAGACAAAGTGTCTTGAGCCACAGACGTAAGGCTGTTTGGCCTATCGAACGCTTTCTAGTGACCTCTAGAGCCCATTGAAAGAAGTGGGTGTCGGTTAGATGTGGTATTTGACAAAAATGTGTTGATTAATTGTCATTAAGGGGCCCAATGGATGCAGAAAACCCGGAGCATGAACCATGTTGGAAAAAGCCAGAGAGTTATGGTAGATGCGTATCTGAATAATGGATAGAGAATTGCACAACCGAAATATGGACCTCGGGCGTCTTACTTGGGCCTTTTTTCTGCGCCAAGGGCTACGCTTCTTAATGGGCATTACGGTTAAGGCCTCCAATACTTTCCTCTTGGGGCACCTGGCTGATTGCCAATCTCATGATGTATCGCGTCCGTATCTGATAAGTGTGAAATTATACCCAGCCATTGCTCATTCCTGCCTCAACGACTGATGTACTCCCCGAGGGGGACATTTACCTAATCCATACAAATAGTTAGCAGGATAATCATGGATTACACAATCCTGGTTGGGACCCATATTCCGAGTCATTCTCCCAACATTCGCCGATCTGGTTTGCAAGGAGACTGACTAGTTCCTGGAGACTATGTAACTAGACCCGCATAGTTTGGTCACCACAGCGACCTTCCTACTTAGGAAGTCATTGGGACCCACCAGGGTCTTCCGAAACTTCTGACATCTCAGCTTTCCCACAAACTGCTCAACTTAGCTGAGATTTCCCCCGACAAAAAGAAACTGAAAGTTAGTTTGACGCCAAAAACGAGCCAAATTTCGACCTACAAACGGAACTGGAGAGCTCACCTGCTAGTCTGACGAAGCAGACGGGTCGATCGGGGTCAGCAAACCACACACCAAACCATCACAACCACCACAAACTACCAAACTAGGTGAGTAGGCTCGAACACGAAACAGAGGCTGTTTGGCTAAATGAGGGAAAAGCTTAGTATTCAGACTCCTTGGAGAGTCTACTATATCTGTATCTACCGTACGCGGATGAGGTCCCCGCCATCTCCGTCAAATCCACCAGTCAGACATCTCCAGAGATTCCGTGTATACACGTTCTCACTACAATACACATCTTGAGTTGTTAGGCTTAGCACACGGCGTTAGCCGTTACGAAACCTCTCATTTACCGTAACTCATGTCGAGAATATCAAGTGCCTGAACCTCGAGAGCTGATCTTCTTATTATGGAAGCCTTTTCTTTCCATGAGTGAAGCTCATGTCGGCTCAAGACTAAAGGATTTCAATCGATATGCTGGCTGGCTAAACTTTGGCTTCAGGCGGACAAATCAAATACTTGACGGCTTTCACGTAGGTCCATTTATGAAGGGCATGTTCTCCCAGATCCCGTCCGTAGCCACTTTGCTTGACGCCATCGAAAGGCATGTTCGGCATCATCATAGCCCACACGTTGACCGTAACGTGACCTGATTGAAGTGCGTGCGAGATCCGGCTAGCGCGGTGAATATTCTCGGTGAAAATGGCAGGCACTCAATCCATATTCACTGGCGTTCGCCTTCTCAACGACCTCTTTTTCTGTGGAGAATCGGTGAATGGTGGCCACGGGTCCGAAAACCTCATCTGTAACAACAGCCATGTCTTCCTTCATATCAACAAAATAAGTATTCTCGACAAACCCGCTACTGCAGACAGCCTGATTAGCGCCTCCCATGTAGACCGTTGCGCCCTCTTCTCTCGCCTTGCCAATATACGAGACCACTTTTTGGTATTGCGGTCCGCTGATAATGATTCCGGAAGCCAACGGATTGCCCAAGCTAGCGGGCTGTCGCTTTGCATGAGCTTGAAACCCATCCAAGAATGCATCGTAGATGCCATCTTGGACATAAATGCGGGACCCAAGTGCACAGACCTGTCCATTATTCGCAGTTGATCCGATGTAAGTCCACATCACCGCATTAGAGAGTTTTTCATCATTGAAAATAATTGATGGGCTCTTCCCGCCAAGCTCCAAGGATACTTTCTTCAGATTGGAGTTGGCGGAGGCACGAAGAATATGACGACCAGTCAGGGTGCTGCCAGTGAAAGAAACCTTGCGGACCTGCATGTGTTGCGCAATCGCGTCGCCAGCAATCGAGCCCTCTCCGCAGAGGATGTTGACCACGCCCGGAGGGAAATCCGCTTCTACAATGAGTTGCGCTAATTTTTGACCGTAGACCCGTAGACTGGGGCGAGCTCTGGTGTTTTCACGATCAATACGTTTCCTGTCGCGATGGCTGGGGCCAGCTTCCAAATTGGTACCATCCTGTCAATTTTGTTAGATCGGATGGTGAAATGCTGGACAGAGACACACAACTTACAATGGCGCGTTCCAAGGGATAATTGCAGCACATATACCAAAAGGCTCGTGGCGAGTGACACCGAAACCTTCGGGAAATGAGATGTTTTTGCCGGTTATTTTGTCGGCCCAGCCTGCGGAGTAACGCAGAGTGGAGATGCTTTGTGGGATGTGCACGGCAAGGACGTCGCCGTATACGAAACCTCCATCAATGGAATGAATACTGGCAAATCGACTGGCGTCGCGCTCAATCAAGTCTGCGAGTCGAAGTAGCAGCTGCCCTCTGGTCACCGCTGGGGTTTGTCTCCATTCTCCTTCAAAGGCCTTCGTAGCTGACTCAACAGCAATGTCCATGTCGCTCGATTGAGCGGCACTAAATGTTCCAATCTTCTCACCGACGAAAGGATTTAGAATATCTATAACAGCATATTCTCTGCTAGGGACGAACTGGTTATGCATAAATAGACCAGTTAGATCTAAACGGGAGTTAATTTCTAACTTAATGACTTAGATTATTACACAAACCTTGAATCATAGCCCTATCACGATCGTAAAGCTGTACAGATGTCATGTCTTATGGTAGTATGTACAATGGACTTGAAATTATATCCCACTATATTTTAGGAACTGGTGAGAAATTGTCTGTGATCGCGATAGAAGAGACACCGGGCTCCCTCTGAACTTATTATAGGGGCACCGAGACTATGTTGTCTTCGTTTTAACAATTAGGTAGCGCGCCCCGGTGGGGTACTGGTCTTTGCCAGGATGCAGATGCAGAATGCTGGGGCCGAAGGACCTTCCGTTTGGGGAAACTATTCGGCATTTTGTTGATGTGTCCCCCTCCCCCAACATGGAGACAATGGCAACTACTGAAATCGAAGAATCCGTTTTCAGGACACATTCTATGTGATCCTGACGGAGCGAAGTTGAGACCACAACGTGGAAAAACATGGGGGAAAACACACAAGGATTGAAGTCGTAGATGATGGTTACTTGCTGTTTATTGGCCAGGCAACCGACTACAACCAGTTACAAGGTGGCTGCGTTTTGGTGAGCCATTTTACAGTAGGGCGTCACGTTGGTACTCCCCCATCAGGGGTTTGCTTGATTTCCGTGGTGCCTGAATCTATAAATATGCTTTGTGTCCATCGACAATCGTGATCCGTTCACGCAAAATTAATGTTTCGAGATTCAGTCAACTCCAGTATCCTTAAGTTGCACCTTGTTTACTATGCCTGAAAATTACAGCAATTACATCACCAAACTCTACCGCAACGGTGACCCGGGCGCTAAAAGACCAGGTGTTACTGCCGATTTTCGCGATCTAGAGGAACAGGCCCGCCATGCGCTAGGGGCGCGAGCTTTCAATTATATCGCCGGAGGGGCCGGTGAAAAGTCCACTACGGACAGCAACCGGCTAGCATTCCGACAATGGAAAATGTGAATAGTCTAATCCAATCTATTCTCCTCGTCGTGGGCATGGACGGCTAACCTTACTCTAACCAGAATTCCGAAAATGATGCGAGATGTCAGTTAAGCCTATCCAAACCTGGGAGAATTTGTTTTCGCTAAAATTTATTGCACATGAGAAGATGTCGGCGCAAGACATCTCTGTCGAGCTTTTCGGTCAAAGCTATGATAACCCTGTGATCATGGCCCCTGTGGCGCTTGCCAGCTTCGAGACAGCTGCGCACTGTGAGCAAGGAGATTTGCGCAGGATCAATGCTTCGGGGGACACCAAAGCAATGCTATATGTAGTTTTTACTTAGTTTGCCAACGTTTAAGAAAACAGTCAAATTTACATGCTGAGTCGCAACCAGCCCTGGAACGAGAGCTTCATCATGGATTTTACTGGCCATAGAATGGCCTTATCACACGGGGGCACCTGCAGTTAGAGCAGACTGCAGGCTAGAGGTTTTCCTTAACTATGGGAGGGAAAAAGTGAGTCCGACCTGACTAGTCTTCCGCAAAGCCCACCGTTGGGCCCGGACCTCGGGCCCAAAGCCCAAGTTCGAACCCCCAGCCCAGACTGAGGATGTTGACGTCGCCTAAGGCATAGATAGATGCTGCAGGACGTATAGTAAATGGATGATCTATGACCTCACCGCCCACGAATGGGCTAGTCTGTATAGACTTCTCTAAAACCCAACTTGGGTCCGACTTCTATAACCTACCCTAACCCAAGACCTAATGCTGGGTACCCATTAGGGCCCTATGAAAACCAGAGGTCTTGGCACTTATAACCCTGCTAAGTCATCTAAATAAAATACTATTTTTTACATATGTATAGATTCAGCTACGGATAAACTAACTTAAGTAGTTTAGCTCACTTTCCTAAACTCACTTCCTTATGCTCACTTCTCTATACTCACTCTTTTGCTCGCTACTCTATTCTCACTCTTGTCCTCACTTCTCTATAGCCCGTTCCATATAATCACGTTGTAACGGAGTCCCTAGGAGCAATGCAGAGATCTCTCGCACTCATAGAGGATCGACACCATATAGGTGTCGCCACGTCAGCGTTAGCTCACCGTAACGCTGATCCCCTATATTAAATAGTCTAGTCCGGAGAACCATAGGTTCTCTAAGAATCAGTCTCTGTATTTCTCTAATATACTACCTGCTTCCAAGGCATCTTCGTCTTACCAAGTTGGCAGGCTCTATCCTACAAACACTAGAACCCCACCCCCACCCCCACCCCTTTCTTTACAGTTAGTCCAGATCGGAATGAATTTAAGGTCATATTTCTTTATGCTCAAAATGCCGGGGCAACCAATATAGTTCGAAAAGGAAGAAATGTAATCGGTCATGAGTTGCCCAAGGAAATATGAGGGTATTCTATGATGTGTGGACTCAAACTTCAGGGAGGAATCGCGCAACATATGGCTGCGGTCGGAGGAATTCTGAGACATTATTCCAACAGCGTGGCAATGGAAAAGCAAGCTTTTCAACCTGGAGAACGAGCATACAACTGGATATCAAGCGCGCGGAATGGCTTTCCGTTTATGTTTAAGTGCCCCCCTGGATACTCCTCAATTTTGTGGCAGTCCAGACTACCGACTGCATGATAACATAAAGCACAAATCTCCACAGACCATGAAGATCGACAGGCATATGTCCAAAGCAAATCTAGATTAGAAAAGTGGGAAATGAACTGGCGTTGAATAATCGACATTCGCTGGCGCCGATTCTATACGATCAGCGCAGGTACCGAAAAGGTGGTCCCAGAAGCGAGTCTGCTTGCCGTAGTTGTGACTCGTCCTCCAGCCGGTACGGTGATGGAGATCGTGGTCCTCCATGACAAGCTCAACACCCAGCCACTGCCATAGCCAGCTCACCGGCGAGGGAGCTATCATGTGGATGCGAAGGCCAGTGTGCCCGCCTACCTCTGTGACGAGTGCATAGACGAGGCAGATCCACCACTCAAAAAAGCCCATCGGCAGGCCTATAAGTCGGAGGGTGAGATAAGTCGCAGTTTCAACACCAACCAGGTCTAAGAACTCTTGCTCATGGTCCGCATAGACGCTCAATAGACCATTTGGGTGCTTGGTGAGATGATGAGTGCGATGATATTTCCAGAGGAAGCTGACCTCGTGCATGAGGCGATGGTAGCAGTAGAACCAGAAGTCGCTCATAAGCCCATATAGACTGACCTCTAGAAGAAGCCATGTCCAGCTCATCTGTACAGGCGTTTTATTGGGGTCGTAGGAAAGATAGGTAGAAAATGCCAAACGGAGGACGCATGTTTTGTAGAATGAAGCAACCACTTTCCCTACTCCAATATCAGGGACTCCATCTCGCTCATGCTTGTCGCCATCTAGATATCCATATATATAGCCAAGGCGACCGGTCAAGCACAATAAATATAGCAAAATGGAGCCATAAGAGAATGAGTAGAAGACAAACACCGCATATGGACCCAGGTTGGACCCTACATGCAAGGCATAGAGCTGATGAAGACAGAGGGGGATGGAGGCATAGGATACCACCCAAACGTTCCCAGACCACTGGTTCACATATGGTATCCTCTCATTTTTGCAGTGCAATGGGACCGTCTTGCCAAACGTCGTAGAGAAGAAGTTGAGCAACGCAATGTGCCAGTGATTCAAATTCCAATCTTCCCGGGGTGTGGCACGCCAGCTTGATATCATGGAGGTTTTGGGGTTCGACTTGGTCGCCATGGGGGAAGGCAGCTGCTGCCATGGAGAGAGAAGATAGTAATGTTCTCCACAGGATTGGAGCAACTTAATATATTATTGGTCTCTTTATGGTTCGGCAGGAGAGCTGAATACCTTAAATCATTTTCTTCAACCCGAGTTACGGACTGTCGGTCGTACTAGGGATCTAGGGATGTCCAATCGCTTTTGACGGGGGCATTCTATCTTGCATTCCCGAGTTAATGCTCGCATGCGCGGGGAATTTGTCTTAGTTTATAAACAAGGAGAATAAAGAATGCGGTAGTACTCGGTCCTGACCCGAAGCTCGGGGAGTGGATGCTAAAGGAAGAGAATAAAAAGGAGAGCTACCAGTCTTTCCAGGCGGAGGTGAAAGCGGCTAGAGAAGGCATGAATCTTAGCACATAGTTTAACCCTATTTCGGGCATCGATTTGAACGGGATTCGAGACCCTTGCGCCTTCAGAGCGACTGTCTCCGACATTTGCAGTTCTTCTGATCGTCGTATCCCATATATGTATCGACAATGTGCCTGGTGATACCCTTCTCTCTCGCACTATCCGATCTGGCAATTGACGTCATTCATCGTACCCCCGCCATCTCGGAGACGATTCATAGAAACCAAGACACGATCGACCGTTACAAGGGCGGTATTATAGGAGCGGTTCCCGTCGCCAGGGTCAACAATGATACATGGAGCACCCTGCGGGCGGCTAATGCCGATCTCGACGACAACATTGAATTCAACGACGAGGAGTCTGATATGATTGTTCCCAACCTCACCTCCATCAATGACGAAGCTATCAGGTTATACGATGCATATGGAACGAAGGTTTTGTGCACCTTGGACTTCAAGGCATCATAACCAAAATGTAGCCACTTCTAACCTCTGTTTATTACCAGGCACCGGTATTGAACCAAGCCGGCGTAGGATTCATGGTTCCGATCTCTTTACAGGTGTTGTTTCGAGAAGCGGACGACTATATGGCTGCGCTGAGAAAACAAGTCACTCCGAACCATGTGACAGCTATGAACCAGATAACTGCTGATCATACAGTAGTCTGGAAAGCCACATTTAATGCTTTCGAGAAAAACAGGAGTTCAGAGCCCTCGCAGGATTACAAGAAGTTTGTTTCCGCAATTTGGCTGATCCTTGGCTTACTGGCTTGGGTTCTTGTGTTGTGGCATTGGTGTCATCCATTGATGGTGGAATTTCTATCATGTCCCTGGATAAGAGACACCAGTGTAATATACATTCCAACTAGGTTAAAGAGAGTTAAATTCTGAAGGGCATATAACCTGTTATGCATGTGGAGGTTGTCTGTAGGTTGGAGCCAGGTCATCATCAACTCGGTGGTTTACATGGCTCAGGTTCGCAGACCATTCCTTTTCCTAACATATGTAGGTCCTAACCCTATTATATGTATATATAAGGGAAACAGGGCCCTTCCCTGTTGTCCTACATTTCTGTTGTCGGCTGAGGTTCGAGAGGATGACACATCCGGTGGATGGAACGTAGCATACCTATTATTATACATTGTACCTCCTTGCAATATTGCCGGCTGACCCCTCAGCAAGAGTAACCTTGTGGGGATTGGGGATATCATGAAGGGCCTGAATCCTCAGCATTTTTCCACCCCCTTACTGTCATTTGATGCAGTTCATTGCCCCTAGCATGTTTGGTATCATACCAGGGCGCAATTCCGGCCCACGAAGCCTTGCCGACCTCCGTTGAATCGTACCTTACATATTTTGTGACATAGGGTTTATAAGCAGCTGCTGTTGGTATGGTGGCAAATCAAAGCATCTGACTTTCCGCTTATGCCGCAGGCCGTTTGTGACTATCTCTCCGTTTCTTTTTCCGTGCTCATCATCTGGGATGAAAAGATACATATAGCTCCTTGCATCTACCAGACGAGAATTCTCGCCCCGCTTAGGGTCGCAGATCTCCTTGTTTACTGAACTGGATGCAATGGCTACTGGGATGTACAAAAAGCAGGCATTAGAATTCTGGCATTTCCTGAATCCCCAGAAGCACAAATGGACCTACACTGTTTGGATACCGCTGCTGCACGGTTCATGTTGGCTCGCTTGTTTTTAGTTTACCGCGGGCAGATCGACCTTGACCGGGTGCGCCACGCTTTCCATCTACTCCTGACCTCCTGGCCGATTCTCCATACCAAGGTCAACCTCCTGGTCAGTATTCGTGATAGCTTGGAGCTCGTCAGATAGTCTTCTTACCTGCACTGGAATCATCATAGCGCACGTCTCTCAATCCAGTTCACGACCCAGAACATGATTCAGTACCATTTCACTTCAGAACCATCGACACCAAGCTGTCCGATTACATTACCGAGCCTTTAGGGACGGGAGAACTTTCATCTCAGCGGTGGAAAGCACTTCACGATTTGTTGCGATTCCCTAATTCACTTTCCTCTCTGGTTTTCTCACCCGCACTGGTCGTCAAGGCCGTCCAGCTACAAGATGCATGCCTGGTGGAATTGGTGTTCCAGCATGGCCTGTGCGATGCCAGCGGTACGTAGATTTTCATCCAGTGTATATCAACCGATTGATTAACAGCGGAGTAAAGGCCTCGCCCGTATTGGTATTGCGTTAAAGACAGCGCTGTGGGGTGAACCGATTGAGCCCCTCATACCACGCCCGTCCACGAATGAGCTTCGTCTTCGACATCATCCAACCGTCTCAAACCGTCAGCTAATGGAGCATCTCCTGGAAGCTAACCGGGCTCGATTTGGACATGGATGGGTCGGATTTTTGGCCACATGTGCGAAACAGTGGCTCTCGCGCTCAAGCACTCTACGATCCAGTAGAACGATGCACATTCCCGGCTCTGTCTTGGATTTATTAGAGCCGTGGAGGAAAGAAATAGCACCTGAAGCCACGCGCCATGACCTCTTTGTGGCAATTCTATTTCAGGTATCTTCTGCGTCCTCCACTCCTTCGCTGAGTGACGCTTCCTACCTTGTGCTCACTAGTCTTCGGTAGGCCACCATCAATGTCTTCCCCGATGAGTCTCAGGGAATGTTCGGCTTTGTACAAAATATTCAACGGGATCTTGACAGCGAAGCTCCCATGCACAATCCGTGGTGGGTGGTGACGATACCTCGACCAGTCCAGGTACCCGACAGAACAGGGCCGCAGCAACTCGTTGACCTAGCAGCGTATATCCGCCAAGTGATAATTACTGCGCGCAGCCAGGAATTTTTGCAGGAGATGCTACATCATTTCAAAATCATGGGTCACAGGCCAATGTATCCGCGCAGCCAGAATCTGCACGTGTCTGAAGTCATAGTATCGTCTTCGTCTCAGTTGCCGTGCTATGAAATGGGACTCCCCAAAGCGGATGGCCAGGATGCATTTCCAGAATACACCGATATTTACGTCGATTCGATAGGTCTCTCTACCTCGGTCGGATTGGCGTGGCATGACACCGTTCTTTCGTGGCAGGATAAACAAAATACCGGCTTCTTGATCTGTGCATCCCTGCACGAGGAATTATGGCGTGACATCGCAAGGATCCGGGACGGAGTGTCCTCGTGGTAAGTTGGTAGTGGGGTTAGGTCATCAAGGATATAGCATTTTACCATGGGAGTGAACGCGAATGTGCTGGATTGAGTAGCTGGAGTCAATTTAGGAGGTGGAATTGAGATCTGACGAATGAAAATGCGCCATACTCTCACAGAATAATCGCAATATTTAGAGGCTGCTCTGTTTAAACACTAACTAGGAAGAAACAGCAATGTAACCAGTTGATCGTTGCGAATTTATGACATATTATGTTAGAACGCCGGAGTGGTTAGTGAAGATTCACCAGAAGGCCGTTGTCAATAATCCATTGTGCAGCACTTCCGTTGAACTTATTTTCGTCGTTCATTCTCTTGATAGCTCTTACCCTATCCAACGGGGGGGAGGGGTTTGGTGCGGAGTCAGGGCTGACTCCAGGTTAGGGGGCCATTCGTGGGCGGTGAGGTCCTGAATCATCCATACCGTACATCCTAAGGCATCTATCTATGCCTTAGGCGTCGTCAACACCCTCAGTCAGGTAGTGGTCCTGACAGGTACTACAATGGTACGGGAGTGACTTATTTTTACTAGCGATTTACATAACGTAATTCACATGCGAGTGGGCCACCTAGCCACTACCCATTAAATTTAAATGCAATTATCTTAACCAAAACGCCATTAAATTCAATAAGCTAAAAACGGGTTCTATTAGGACATGTAGTCAATTTATGACCCTGAATTCCACATATACTGCACTTCGGTAAGGCTCTCTTACGTGGCTGTGAAGGTGTCGGAGCCGATTCTGCCTCACGGGGTATTTGTGCTAAAACCGCTTGCTCTAGCTACGCTGCTAAGGTAGAGGCCTCTAAAACTATAAGGCCTTCCTTAGAAGCTATTTGCCTTTTAGACTAAGTCCTTTTTCGCTTCTTCGTCTCGTTTACAGCGCGTAATTCGCTTACTTCTTTCTCGAGCAAAGCTGCTGATTATATCGTAATTTGGCAGCCCTTTAGAACCTAATTTATCGCGGAGTTAAGCGGGCTCAGTCGGCTTTTTAAGCGCGCTTTTAGCAAAGCTTTAATTAAGGAAGCTTACTTTTGTAATTAGACGTAGTTTAAAGGCGTTTTTAGATCCCACTCACTCCCCTAGCTTAAGGGGGGCGTCGGCGTATAAAGGCGAATTGTTACGCATAACTAACGGGTCGTCGCTATGTTAGAAGATTCCTGGGGTATACTTGCCTGAATGCTTCCTTGCTTCTAACGTCAACGATCTGTCTCTCAACCGTACCGTTGCCTAACAGGCCTTATACGGGCTAAGTCCTTTTGAGTGTATCGAGGAGCGATGCCAGGTAGAGCGCCGAACTAACCAATACCGGGGTATAGGTCTATTCGTAGTGTTGTTAAGTTATAATTAAGTTGTACGAGTCACCAAAGGTTTCTAAACAGTAGACACAAGTAACAATATATATATATTGAACACGAAGAACCAAACTAGATATATGAATAAGTGTTCTTATATATCCTAAGTTCTTCTAAGGTAGAATGGTAGAAAGTAGAATAGTAGATTTGCCTTGGCAAGATCTACTACGTCGACTATCGACCTTTCTACTACCCGTATGATCACGTGGTTGCCGTCTTATTAGTTATTATGGTATACAATAAGATGGCGAACGGAAGGCTAAAAGTGGCCTTTAGCGCGTAGACTCTATCTATTATATAGAGCTATATATATAGGGGACTGATACAGACACCCCCCTTTGGATGCTAACACCCCCCGTGCCTGAATTTACTCACCGCCTTTCTTACCGCTTTTGTGCCCGCCGCACTATATTCTCTAGTAGTATTAACTATTAAGTAATACTATATAATAGGTACCTACGATTACTATATAAACCCTTAATAAAAATAAGTCACCCCTATAATATCGTACTCTAATAAAAATAATTGATATTTATATCTTTTATATCTCTAAATCTCGCGTTTTCTACCTATTTCTCGTCTATTTTACGATAGCTCCCTTATAGCCTAATTCGCTATCTAATTCTAAGCCTAAAGCTATTCCTAAGTCCCCGCTAACGCTACTAAGTGTAAAGAAAGGGGTTCTAGTATTTGCAGGATAGAGCCTGTCAACTAGGTAAGACGAAGATGCCTGGGAAGCAAGTAGTATATTGGAGGAATACAGAGACTGATCCTTGGAGAACCTCTGGGTTCTCCTGGAGTGCACTATTTAACATGGGAGATCAGCGTTGCGGTGAGGAAGCGCTGACGTGTCGACACCTGTATGATGTTGATCCTCTGACAGTGCGAGAGATCTGTGCATGATTCCTGAGGACTCTGTGCATGATTCCTGAGGACTCTGTGCATGATTCCTGAGGACTCTGTGCATGATTCCTGAGGACTCCGTTACAATTATCCCCCCGTCCAGTACGGGTGTCCGCACCCGTGGTGAAGTCTGCAGAGCGTAGCCCATTAAAAACCCAGTGGGAAAAGGTAGCTAGTTCTTGCAGGAGAAATAGTAATTGCGGGAAGACAGGAAGGCGATGGGGAAACGATAGTGTAAGGATAGACGGTTGCAGGCAGGAAAATTGGGGCCTGAGGCAGGAATTTGATAGGGCTGGAAAACCTCATGATTTCCTAGTTGGGGTGCAGGGGTTTGTTTGTATGGGTGGTGCGCTTTGTTGTGGTAAACAAAGCTTCTTTAACACAGTGAAACTGCGTGAAACAAAGCGTCTTCGACGTGTTTGTTTCTGCGTTTGTTTGTTCAGGGTTACAGGGCTTTGTTGTGAATTCATCCTCATGGGTATAAATCCCCTGTTGTTTACCTTTCAGTTTTCCTTTTCCCTCATCATTTTCCACAACAGCGACACGTTCTCACGTCGCTGTCGTTTCTCTGGTGTTTCTCCAGATTCTGGCTGTCATATCTTCAGGTAAGTGTGATGACCATTCCCATGTCTAAGTCTGACGACACGTTGCTGACTCGCTGTTGTTTTGCCGTCGTTTCAGTAGCGATCTAACTGCTGTGCGCTGATCATCATGCCTCCCCGCGGAACAGGTCGTGGTCGTGGCCGTGGCCGAGGTCGTGGCAAGGCCCCAGCAGCCCCAGCTCCTCCCAGTCGTTCGCCCACTCCATCTGAGGTTGAGAGTGTGATTTCCAGCTCGGACGATGAGCAGGAGGAAACCTCTAGTGCACCTGAATTCTCGCCAGCAGCTCGCTCGGTGATCACTGGTTCCGAGACTCCTACTCCCAGCGCTCCCAGCACTCCCACCCCCAGTGGACCCACTTCTCTTGCTGGTCTCCGCCGTGCCCTTACCGGTGGAGTCAGGAAGAAGAACCGCCCCCTTCGCCCTGTCGCCTATCTCCGCCATGTGGCGTGGTGCATGCACTGTTTCCGGACTTTCTTGGAGAACTGGGACACCAGTGGACCACCAGTGATCCCCTGCTGGGACGACGGCTTGTCGTCGAAGAGATGCCGTCAGTGCGCCAGCCGCAATAAGAATTGCGAGCCTGTGAGTGTTTCCAATAAGCATGGTGTTATGATAGCGGCTAACCAGCGTTTCTCTGTAGGTAAACGAAGGTATCCTTGGTGATGCGATGCGTCTCCAGTGCATTCTCGACTGGGCCAAGCCTTTCTGGGACAATGAGGACGATAACGAAGTTTTCGATTTGGACAATGCTGTCTTTGGTGACCTGGTCCAGGCTGTTCAGGCCCTGCTCGCCGGTTTCAACGTCCTCTTAGATGGTCACCGTAAGCAGTTTGGCATTGCTTCAGATAAGAAGCCAGCGAAGGTACGGTGTTCTGTTGTTGTTTCTCTAGCGTTTTGCTAACTGTTCGGTAGGACATCGCCAAGTCCTACGAAGCAGTTGTCCACAACCGTCGTGGATTGCTCCAGCCAATCCCTGTCACTGTCGGTATGTCGTCGCTTCGCCGTCTCGTCGCTGAAGCTTCGACTTACCCCGGTGCACGTCTTTCGGATGATGGTTACCATGCTTGGGCTTTTGCTGTGCGAACTTTTCGTTCCGCTGTTGTTGAGATTGTGGCTAGCCAGGAGAAGTACGATAACCTCTC